TTTTCTATCTAGACAAGCCACATTTTGTCCATCTGTCATACCCTCTGATCAGTTAGTCTTACTTGAATATTTACTGACCATAAATACCTAACTTTTTTAGATTAAGGCATAATTTGATAGTTTGAAAGCAGTCCAAAAGAATCAATTTATAATACAACACTTTGCTTCAGAGAGGCAGACAAAATAATATTCAGGATAGATAGATATGAGAAGACATAGATAGATAGATAGATAGATAGATAGATATATATGAGAAGACTTAGATAGATAGATCAGTTAAAAAACCTTTTACTTCAAAGTGTATTTATATTGTGTTCTGTTATTTCATGTTGAAATAAGAAAAAAGTTAATTCTGAGCATTCACAAGCCTTTCAAAATGACAAGCTTCCTTACATTTCCTGGAGACAGAACATTGTTCGCATAGCAATTAACACTAAAGAATAATATACAACTTCTCAATGGCTGGCATTTCTACCACTAGAGATAGACATATGTTCCTACACAAATTTTAGAAACAAAAATTCTGTACATACTACACACAAATTACTCTCATTTTTTGCATACCTTTTAATAACAGAAAGTGTTTCATTCTTTCTTTTTTTTCTCTTTCTATAATGAAACTGATTCTTTTAAACATCAAGTGTTAACCTATAGTATCTCCTTTTTTTGTATTTTCTCTCTCTTTTTCTCTTAGTGAACTGTCTTCTTTTGATAGAGTTTGTTGTAAAGAGCATTTACTTCTGAACCATGTTCTCTGATATATTTCTTGCATGAAATGGGAATTACCTTAATCTAATTTCAAAGCTGCTTTGGATTGCTCTAATCCTTCAAAGAAGAAATTTTCAAAGGAAAACGTTTCTTTTTTGCTTTTTCCTTTCATTTGCCAACCATTTCTTTGAACCTAAGAATTTTAAGTCGTAATGAGATTACCTTGCCATGTAAAGAATGAATGTCTTACTAACTCTTGTGTTCTGATTAGTCAGGAGATAAATCAATTGCAAAATCTGATCAATACTTTGAAAGTACCTTATTGTAGAAGCACCTTCTCTTTTTTTATTTTAATTGAAAAACTTTTTTTGACAACATTAATAGTCTTCTCAAAACTAGCAAAAAAAATCAAACAATTATTTCACTGCAATTTGATTGTTTTCATTAACACTTGCAAACTTGGCACAAGTCATAAAGGAAAGAATTAAAAGCCAGTTCACTGAGTAAGAAGCTGGGAAATCTATTATTGCAGACTAATGTAGAAAAACAAATATTTTCAAATGCATTAAATAATTCCGTCTTCGGTTTCACTATAAACTATATTCAGCAGCAAAACTTCTGATCGGGAGCATGGAATTACGTCTTAATTGCTGTTGTTCACAGGTCCACCCTGACCCGATGTGGTAGCACCTGTTAGGGGTCCCAGCTATGGGCAAATAGGCAACATTCAAACTGAAAAAAAAGACTAGGAAAGTATAAAAATACAAGCAATACATTTTATAAATAAATTACCAGAAATATATTTTTAGTAAAAATAAACAATTACCAACAATACATTTTTATAGTATAATTGAAGATATGATATACATTATCAAAAAGAATTTAATAAAGTAATTTCTTATGATTAATCTCATTTTTTATAAAGAAAACCAAAATTTTCACTTCACACTAAACAAAAACAGGCAAACCAAACATTCAGAGTTGTACTTATAAAAGATTACATATTCTCTTTGCATAAATAAAAATATTAGTGTCATTGTTTCAAATATGGATTGATTCATTTACTTTAGTTTTGTTATTTTTGTTGTTTTTATAAGAAAAGGTGAGGCTAGGAATGAAAATGGCTACAATATTATGATAACGCAATAGAGAAGAGAACAGGTGTGAATGAATCTGTAAGAACACCTTATGTGAGAAACTTTAGCTGAAGAGTAAATAAGTCCAAGTTGAATATTTTTTCAGTGAAGGTGACTCGATCCTGTTGATGTAGCATGGCATAAAGGTCTGAAATGGTAAACTAAAGAATGAAGTGTGTCAGGACATTTTCCATGGAAATAATGATATAAGTAGTGACAAGCTTGCAATGTTGCATCTGTGAGAGAGGGGTAGGAGTCTATTGGGAGGAAAAAAATGCTCCCCCCACAAGGCTGAGTAAACAATTTTGAACTGTATCAAGGTTTGAAAAGTGAAGATTGGGAAGCTTCAGCCTAGATATGGTAGCAATACACCATTTTTGATCTCTGCTCTGATTCTTGCAAAGATAAAACAGAGGAGGAAGAGTCAAGTACTTCTTGAAGCAATCCAATTTTTCCAGCATCCTTACTGGATGGATCACACACACACATATATATATATATATATATATATATATATATATATATGTGTGTGTGTGTGTCCACTTGAGATTTAGTGTGAACAATAGATTTTCAAAGCATGGAACCGCATTTCGGTGTAACTATTCATCATGACTATATCTTGCTCCAATTTCTGATCGAATATTGAAAAGAATTGAAATTCTAACAGTGAGTAGCAGGCAAAACAACCAAAAGATAAACTGAGAATGACCAAGTCTGCTTTCTGTAGGCCTAATTTTGCTTAGTGAAGTATAAAAAAGGAAAAATAATTTAGCAAAGTTTAACATTTATAGCCACAAAAATAACGATATACCAAAAGGATGAATTTTCCTTTGATACTGCAACTATTTTGCTGTAGACTCCCTCAGTAATTTTTATTGTTTTAAAAAGCTATTTTTAGCATTTTAATAAAATCCAAACATATAAAACTGGATTTATGCATTCTCTTTTTTCCTCAAGAATTGGCAACAAAAGAATTAAACACTATTTTAGTAAATAAATAGTCTAAAAAAATCCAGATGTTAGCAAAACTTTTAGCAGGTTTCTATGGTGAGAGCAAATGAAAGAAATGCCTAAAAATGCATTTCTTTCAAAATTTTTTTTTTCATAGTTATGTGTTTATTTGAATTTTCTTGTTGATTACTTTACAAATATTTTTATAAATTTATGGATAAAAAAATAGTTTTTTCCTAGTTAATGAAATAATTAATAGTTTATAATATGGTAAGTGATAAATATTACATGGTTTACATATTTTTATAAACTTGTACATATAAAATTATTCTTGCAAATGTAATAAAGATGTGTCTTCTCACCAGACATGTTCAACCTATACAGCAAGGCAATTCTGAGAGAATTTCAAGTTCTACCAAGATTCCTTATTGGCAGCCATACTCTTAATAATATAAATTGTGTAGATGACTCAGTAATGATAGCAGACAGAGTAAGGAAACAACAAGAACTCCTACAGAAGGTAGTAAAGGAAAGCAAGAAGAAAGGACTAAACACCAATTGTAAGAAGACAGAATACATGATTGTTAGCAAAAGGGATGTTATAAAATAAAATAAGTCATACCTCGGCTGATTTGCAGGCAAATAAACTAACATACTCAAGAGCAAGAGCCGGATGTGAACAGGACAAGGCCCCGTCACAAAATGACCATTATCGTTGTTTACGCATAGCCCCGACGCACGAGTTCCGGTCAAAAAATAAAATAATATTTTAAAGTTTTTCTATTTTTCAACCAATAAAAATGCTTCCCTACTAGTTATACTCACGTCGTTTTTCGAGCCTGTTAAGCCATAAAAAACACCATAAATGGGGTCACACAGGGAAGTACAACAGCAGTCAACAGGAGGCCAGGGAAGAGACCTGTCACGGTCAGGATGAGCGGTCGGCAGCAGTCAGCAGGAGGAGCACCACGCCAGTCAGTGAGAACTACTATGAGAGATCAACCCAGATCGGAAGCCGGCTTATGAACTATACCACAAGGTAGCTGTCCCAAACCCACACATTCATGTAGAAATAAATCACGTAAATCTATTTCTACTGTTGTCTTATTTCTTTCTTGCAACCATACGCTTGTCTATAACACCAACATGCAAATTACAAATTGGAGATATCAAAATCAAACAAGTAAACCAATTTAAACAGAAGACAGAAAGTGCGGCACTGATATCTGAAGACTTATTGAAACAGCAAAAGATACTTTCCAAAAGCTCTGTAAAGTATTAAGAAACAAAAAAGATTTCTTTCGAAACAAAGAAAAGAGTACTTAACTGTGATGTCATATCACTTCTCTTATATGGCAGTGAATGCTGGACAATCTCTTTGCAGATGAAGAAGCAACAAAGTAACAGTAATGTTCTTCTATGGAAGGATGCTGAGAATACCATGGACTGAACATGTGAGCAATGACAAAGGACACTTATGCTTAACATCAGGAAGAGATAGTTGAAATTTCTAGGGCACTTAATGAGGAAAGAGGGCTTGAAAAATTTGATACTCACAGGACACATTGAAGGCAAAAGAGATGGGAAAAAAATGCATGACCTACCCTTTGAGCTTGAATGAATTGATGGTGGAGCAAGATTTAGGAGAAACAACAAAAAGACAAAATTTCTTAAACACTACAGGAAACTGTGGAGAGCCATGATCACCAACATCTTGAAGGGACATGGCACATAGAAGAAGAAGAATAAAATAGTGTTTAATATGTTTGTTGTCAATTCTAAAGTAAAAAAGAGAATGCATAAATTCAGTTTCATATGTTTGGGTTTTATTAAAACTGTAAAAACAATTTTTGAAAACAATACAAATTTCCCAAGGGAGTATGCACAGTAATAGCAACATCAAGAAAAACAAATGTACTTCTGACATGTTTTTTTTTTTTTTTGGTGGGTACAAATATTAAACTTTGCCAATAATTATATAGGAAAGTGCAAATTGTCACCAAACAACAATCTGCAGGTTAAGTTTTTACTTTAGTTTTTAAATTTTCAAAAAAACAGCTTTATGCTGAGAAATATATATTTCAAAGGAAGAAATTTCTGACGTATGGTCTAAACTTTAAACTTGATGAGGTGAGTAGATTTATAAAAATGTTTGACTATCGTAAGGAATCATTAAGCAGAATTCTTTTCTTTTTTATAACTTAGGCCAGCGTGATCAAAGATCTAGAATTTCGAGTGCAAGAATTGACTATTGAAGCCGACCAAATCACAAAAGCCAGGAACTCTTTGGAAGCAGAGAAGAAAGAATTGATGTTTAATATTGACAACTTAACTGATGAACTTGATGCCCTGAAGCAAAGGTATTTATCAGTGCTTTTTTTAAATATATTTTTACCAATATTTCTGCTATGCTAAACATTGCTGCAATTATACGTACATATAAAAATGCTAATTGCTCATAGCATGATTAATAACCTGCAGATCATTATTCATAAGATGCAGGTCTATTTTAGAAATAAAAAGTTCCATGCCAATTCTTTCTCAGTTATTAATTTTTGTAACTTACCTAGTGAATCAGTATCACCCCAAAATAAGAAGTTGAACTGCAAAGGAAATCAGTGTATTTTTTTGATCAATCCTTACCAATTCAACAGTTCTTTGGTCTCTTTGTCTTGTGTATATATTGAAGAGTCTATAGCCACAACTTCACCATGCTAGTGTTGCTGCTGCTGTGGTTTCTGTAAAAAGTAGGTATTTTATGTGATGATGTTGCTAGGCCGATACCCTTATCATCTCAAGAAAAGAGGGAAAGTAATAAAAGAAAAACTAAAAGTCTCATTTTCAAAAAGTCTTTGCATTTTTTTCTTTTGATTGTTTTTTTTCTGAATCAGTAAATTCTTTACAAGAAATGGCATTTCTGCTGCACAGTGATGTAATCCAATCTACTTCTTGAGTTGTTTGTACGTTTCATTTCAATGAAATCTAGTCTTGCATCTATCATTTTCATTCCTCTGATATATCTGAAAGCCATCAGCAATGTGTCCCTTTTTTGTGTATATATATATATATATAATTTGCTGTATCTGACTTTTATAAAGTTTTTCTTTTTCTGAAATACAAGTTACAATTTTGATCCTACAAGTATTGTTTAAAGCAGCAAGTTTAAAACAAATTATATCTGGTTCTAAAAATGATTTATCCTATCGGCTAATTGATTTCATGACAAATTGATTGTCCATTTTACTCGCAGCAAAATATCCTAACACTAAATCAAAGAGAAGAAATCACCCTCCCCCCCTTGCTTTGAGATGAGATCCAAATAATAAATAAGGAACATCACTAGTGGCTAAGAAAACTGAAAGAATCTGAGTACATTCAGCCTTACAAATAAATGTCTATGTCAGGACATTGTGAAAATTTGTTAGCAAAAAATGGATTGGAGATGACCCCCGTGATATGCAGTACTGGGGATTTTTGCATATCTGGTTGGTTTGATTAGTATATTTGTTACTATTTTTACTCTGTTGGCTTCTTTCACAAGAATTCACAAACTAAAGCAAGGTCAACCAAGCAGACACAGTACGTTTGTCTAGTAGTTAGATCTGGACTGAGTCATGTCAAAATGCAAGCCGTCCCATTTTATTGACTAAGAAAAATATCCCAGTATGCATTCTGTGTCTTTCTGACTATAAGAGGGAGAGAGAGAAAACTTTTGCAATCATTCCGATTGGGAAATCAAAATCCCACCCACTTCAATCTAAATGGATGAGTGTAATTAGTGTAAACTTGTCCAGGGTTGCATGAGTCCTATTCTTTTTTATGTCTTATTGTTTTGCCTTTAACCATTTCTTGTCTCAACATTATTTTTATTTACTATCTGTTTGTTTGTGTCATCAGAGAAATCCCTCTCCACTATGGTGGACCCCCCCCCTATAAAGAGCCATTGGTCACCCATGCTATGTCATCAGCATGAACAGCAGAAAGGCCCAAAAAGGGGCCAAACTACTACAAGATGAATACAGTGCTTTCCTCTCTGGGTATGAACTTTTGCCCCTGCCTTCTGTTATGGAGGCAGTGGCAACAAGGACAATCTCTCTGGTAGCAGCCAACATCAAGTCAAGAAAATTTAATACTGTCAGCAGGGAGGCTATGAAAGTGGCCCTAAAGGCCTTAAATATTAGGGTGAAACTGTTAGATTACTCTACATCGGGTGCCAATGTACATCACGGAAGACCATTTGGAAGCCGCCTTCTCAGATTACAGTCTTGTGGAGGAGGTATCCTGCATCAAGATTAAGTCAAGCATTGCCACCAGTGATTTTGAAATCATGGTGACATTGACCTAACCCAAGTTTAATGAGATTCCCAATGTGATCACCTATGGGAGACAAAATATCTTTGTCATCGTAGAAGGTTGCCAACCAGGAATCCAGCACTGCAGGCTCAATCAACACCAGAGCAGCCCAGGGTGGAAGAACTAAAGAAGGCTCTCAGTGACAGCAAGAGCCACAGCAGAGTCAGGAGCAGGAGCTTCCCCAGCAGCAGTCAGAACAGTAGCCTGAGCAGCAATTAAAGGAGTCGCCATAACATGACCTTCTACATGGAGGTAGAGGAAATACCACCACTGAAAGCTTCATCATTGAAAAGGTGGAGGGACAAGGAAGACTATCTAAAATATGTGAAAAGGAGAAGAGAACTGGTCAGAGTAGGGTGGAGAAAACTCTGGTAGTTGTCAAGTCCCAATCCACTCCTGTTTCATCAGCAAGAACTATTCCAGATGCTTTACCAGTTAAGATGAGGAGCCTTCCTTCATCCCCTTTTAGAGCTCCATCTTCCCTTTCTGCCTCCCCCAATATTTCCCAAGGAAAGAAAAAAAAAATTTTCCCCAAAGGAGAAAGAATTTATGTAGTAGATCATGAGTCCCTCAAGAGGGACCTTTCCCCTCAAAGGAAGACGAACTTGAGGCCTCTGTTCAAATGTACCTCTACTGACAGGAATCCAACAGAGAACCCAAGAAACTTTCCTGGTGTCTTCAGTGTGATTACTCTCTTTAGGAAAACCAGAGGTAACCTTAAGTTTTGGTAGCATCTGGCTGGTGTTAAAAATGCATTCCAAAAGTTCAGGATGGCTCAAATAGTCTCTGGAGCTCTAAAGATTAGCACAATATTGCTCTGGGAGGGTTCCAGTTTTGCTCCACCTCTCTATATAGATGTCAGCAGTATTGCCTCAGAAGGATGAATTATGTCTGACTGGGAGTCTGGGACAATCCATCAATGTCTTGACCCCTGCAGATTCCCATCCAAGTCTGTGTTTAAAGGGTTTCTTGTAAAAGTTAAAAGATGTCTATTAAGTTAGCCAGCTTGAATGTGAGGGGCTCAAGAGATTAAGGTAAGGCGGCAAATCTTCTTTGTGATCTCTTGTCCTTTAGATTTGACTGTGATGCAGGAGATAAATTTTGTTTGCAACATTGATGCTCATGTGCTGTCTAGTAACTTTGTTGCCTATTCAGCATATAAGACCTGCTGGTCAGAGATTTTTCCTTGTTAGTAAAATGTTCTCTAGGTGTGAGGGTGGACTTTGTCCATGTTGACGTGGTTGGCCGGTTGATCCTGGCCCATATTGCTGTGAGCAGTGGTTCATTTCAGGTCATTGCAGTTTATGTACCCAATGACCAGGGAGAGTGTCTTGACTTTTTCTGTCATTGAGGCCATTCCTGGTTGATTCATGATGCTTAGTCTTAATGGGGTCTGGTATGCAATCCTTGACCCTAAGATAAACAGGGAAAAGAGAGCTAGTGGGATGGGATCATCAAGCAATTGTAGGTTAGTTGAACTGATCAGAGAGTTTAGGTTCATCAATAGATACTAGGTTGATCATCTGGGGAGGTAGCTGTGGACATGGTCTCTTAAGTGGCCACCTCTCTGGGTACGCAGCTACCTGAATAGAATGTTAATTAGGAGGATCAATTTAGATTTGCTAGGTTGTCCCACATTCCACCGTTTAGACTATTCAGACCATAGACTTGTCTGAGCCCTGATGCTGTTAGATGCTAGGCCTAGAATGGCTGGACACTGGAAGTTCAATCTGCCTTTATTGGACAGGCAGGACTTCCAGCAACAGCTAACTAGGAACTAGTGGAGATGGTCATTGGGAATAAGTGGTGGGAGAGACCTAAGGATAAGATTAGGTCTTTCACCACTGAATATAGCCAATGACTTGCCTTAGACAGGTCTAAGACAGTGAAGATTCTAGAGGATTGTCTGTCTTGAATGGAGACTGAAGGGGATTCCCTAGAGATAGCACTTGCTAGACAGGCTCTGGAGCATGAGGCTACCAAGTGTTACCAGGGTCAGGTAATTAGACATTAAATTTTTCTGCTATTTGTTAACTGAAGGAACTAGCTGCAAGTGTGATATTGAAGAGGGCGAAGTTCACTTAGCATTGAAGAGGGTCTGCAGTGGCAAGTCTCCGAGATTTGATGGTTTGCCCTACGAATTGTACTTGAGGTGGCACACATCTTTGTTCCGATTTTGACAATGGTGTTCAACAACTGGTTCCAGCAGAGATCCATCCTTGATTGGATCTCCAGAGGTGTGATCACACTGTTGAAAAAGGGCAAGGGTGTTGGGTGAGAATTAGATGACTATAGGCCCATAACTCTGCTAAGCACAGAGTTAAAGATTTTGGCCAAGATCCTGATGGAGTGTTTGCAGTCAGTTATCATGATCTTGTTGGGATCCAAGCAGACTTACACTGTGAGAAGACAAACAATTCAAAGCAACCTGCATCTGGTCTGCACAATCATAAAGGGTATAGAAGATGACGAGCAAGCCACATTGATCAATTTAGATCAGTCCAATGAATTCAATAAGGTTAATCATCAGTATTTGATGGCTGTCCTTCAGGCTGCTGAATTCAAACCCAACTTCTGCAAGTGGATCAGCCTCCTGTATCACTCCCCCAGGGCTGGATACAGATGAACGGGAAGCAGTTGAGCATTTTGTGCTGTCTTGGTCAGTTTGTCAGGGTTGTCTGCTGTTTCTCTAAATTTACACTTTGGCATTGGAAGCCCACTTTCTCCGGCTAAGAGACAAGGCATACAATCCAGCCCTATATGGAATCGCCATCCCTGGATGTTGAGCCATGGTTTCTACATACGCCAATGACGTGTATTTTCATGTCATGCCATAGCAACATTGAGGTAGTACAGAAGACACTTGGGTGGTACAAGAAGGTGGGCCAAAATTAACTGCAACAAGTCATCTGGTTTGTTTAGAAAGGAGTTGCACTTCCACGGCCCTTTAGTTGGACAGATGAATCCTTCTGCATTCTTGGAGAGTGGTTCAGGCCCAGTTTCCAGC